TGCCTTGTTCCTTCCAGGCTCCTCCTGGCCAGCTCTCTCTTGTAGACTCTGTTTTCACTTAATCTTCTCTCTGTCTTCATCTTTTTTTAAAGTGTGTGTGTGTGTGTGTGTGTGTGTGTGTGTGTGTGCGCGCGTGTGTGTGCTAAGGTGTGCTTTCTGGAGTCAGCTCTCTCTCTTCCACCATGCCAGCCTCAGGGGTGAAACTCAGGTCACACCAGGCTTGGCAGCAAGCACCTTTACTCTCAGAGCCATCTTGCTGTACCTCTCCTCTCTCAGGGAGACTAATAATGGGATTTAAGACCAACCTGGATAATCCAGCTTGCTCTCATCTCTGATTATCAAGTTAATTATCAAGATAATTTTCAATGATTCTTTTCTTTCTTCAAATAAAGTCATGTACACAGACTTCTAGGGTTGGGGGGGTGGACACATCTTTGGGGAGCTACCTCCCTCCTCCCTCCTCCCCCTCCTTCCTCAGGCAGCCTACCTGTGATTCTGGTGAACCTTTCTGCACAGTGTCACCCCATCTTTACTACTACATCCCTAACAAGCTGCTTATGTGCTCTGCTAGCCACCAGTGACCTCCTAGCTGGTTTCTCTCTTATTGTGGTCTGCACTGATTTCCCCCAAATGCTTTTGTTGATTGTATGGTGACTGGACTTTTAAGCAGATCGTTCAGTGAGGTCACTAGAGCAGGACCCTAACCTGCTAGGACTGGTGGGGTTTTTTGTTTGTTTGTTTGTTTGTTTTGTTTTTCGAGACAGGGTTTCTCTCTGAAGCTTTGGAGCCTATCCTGCCACTCGCTCTGGAGACCAGGCTGGCCTCGAACTCACAGAGATCCACCTGCGTCTGCCTCCCGAGTACTGGGATTAAAGGCTGCACCACCAACGCCCGGCTAGGTCTGGTGTTTTTACAGGAGGATTCAACATCTACACATCTTCCTCCCCTCCTGAGAGTGCCCAGGGAAAACCACAGGAGGAACTGAGCAGAAGGCTGTATACAAGCCAGGAGTGAGTGAAGCACCTACCCCCAGCCATCAACCGTGATGGCTTTGAGAACCCCCAGCTTCCAGCGACTCAGAGAATAACTGCCTGTTGCTTAAGCCCCACCCCATGTGGTACCGAAGTCAAAGAAGACCTGTATTCTAAGTTTGCTCCCACTGGCATTGCAACCAGTGACCTCTGTAAGCCACAGATCTCAAAACTTCTACCTAAAACCAGCCCTCTCTCCTTCCCTGCCTCCCTCATCTTTCCTCCCTCCCTCCCTTTGCTCCTTTGGATTGATTCAGGGCACTGCTCTGGGCACCAGAGATTTAGAGTGAGCAGAGCAGACAACCTCACCTAATCCTCCCATGGGAAAGGTCAAGGACCAACAGTTGGAACAGTCTGTAAAACCCTGTAAAGCTGGAACCAGAAGGCTGAGCTTGCCCACCCACTGAGTTTCCTTCCCCACCACTTCCCATGCCTGTGTGCCTAGCCCTTTGGTTATACAGGCCTCCTATTATGCAGCTCTATTTCCTGGAGACATGGGCTCTGCATGGTTCCTTCCCTTTGCCTATTTAGCTCTCCTATTTGCACTTAGTCTCCAGGAGCAATCCAGCCACACCCTCAGCATCTGCTTTTTGCTCTGGTAGTATCGATTATACTGGCAAGGATACAATTAGTTGTTTGGTGTTTGTAAAGCTCACCAGACTGCAAATCCCATGAGGACAATATCTGCGTCTATTATATATATTTTTCTTCCTGCTGTTTTCCCAGGCTCAGCACACTTAGAACATGGCTCCAGCTTATTAGCTATTGTGACAGGGATGAGCCACAGAATTAAGAAACCATTCTGATAAACACCTACCATCCTTTAGATCTTTTTAGAGTGCATATAAATTCAAAGTGAATTCTTGGCACCAAAACAGTTACCGAGAAAAAAAATACTTTTTGTGACAAAGAACAGAAG